AATGATTTATGGGGAATTGTGGGATTCCTCGAATGAGTCCCGGGTTAATGTTCACCTTTCTCGGCAGATCTCTGGGTGTGGGGGACTGCTCACATCCAGTCCAGATCCAACTGTCGAGGGGACTGACTGAGTGGCCGGCCTCCAGCTAAACCCGGCACACAGCAGGGCGGAAGACCATGCTCGGCGACTGAGAAGAAGAAGAGGAGGAGGCTAATGAGGCCTGATCAAGCTCAGCAATGGGTCACAACAGAGACAATGAGAGCAGAACAAAAAAAATCCAAGCAGTTATAAAAAGCTCAAAGAAAAAACAACAACAACATGCTTTTCTCATTGTGTAAGGTGTGCAAGCTTTATGCATGACAAAGAACATTGTGGCCCACGCAACATGCACTGACATGCACAAGTAGGAGGTATCTTATGTCCACAACACAGAAGTTTGAATATTTCATGTTTTATTCACCAAGTTAATCATTTGTATTTTCTCTAACTGTAATCAAACAATGAACATGTTAAACAATCAGGAGTAAAATGATGATTTTAGTCCATTACAGGACCGGCTAAAAGCATCACCAATAGATGTTTAATATTCCTTTAAATTTGACTCTCTGCACATGTGACAGCGCTTCATTAAAGTCATTAATGAAGTCATTAATGAATCTGAAGTCAGTTTTAGACTCATTTTGCTCACAAAAGCATTGTGTCGTTTAATAATAACGTATGCGATCTATAATTATAATTACAGGCAACATCAGTGGTCCCACTCATGGTCTGGGGTTTGTCATAGTTTCCATCAATGACTTCTGCTAAAAATGCTAAAAAGCATTTACAAATATTGTTTCATTTCCTTTTTTGCTGAGTTTATATGTTTCCTTCAAATAATTAACGTGTCTTTTGTACAGTAAAAATATTTCCCAAAGTAGGGCAGTGGGTGGAGTTTTATATGCACTGAGGCTGAATATCTTGAATGAAATAACTGCTTGTTTTAATGTATCTATCTGATAAACTTAGTACTTTTTTCATTTTTACATTTCAGTCAGACAAAAAAAAGTTTTTTTTACTCAAGTTAAAGCTCCTAATGTATATAAATGAACTATTTTACAATCATGTCAATTTTGTTTACACAACACAACTTAAACTCTTCCTATTATCTATAAAAGGACCTCACTGGGACATGACCTTGATGTCTTCAGCAGTAGTTGGTCATGTGTAAAGACACAGCGTCTCTGTATTCCATCCTGCTTCCTTTCTTTACTTTATGTTGGCCTGAAAGTACAAAAAACTAAACAAAACAAATAGATCCTGAACATAGTGGAATCAGCCTCTTTAATATCGTCCAGGTACATATATGACCTCCGTTTCCTCAGTGAAAAAAGTATCATAAATTTAACAAAAGCTTACATTAATGCCACTATTAAACTCAATAAAACACTGAAAGCTTTCCTTTTCTTTCTTGTTAGTCAATCGGGATCCAAAAATGTGGTCATGTCCCCCTCTGTCATGTATATGTCCTGTGAACAGAGCTAAGGTATAAGGCTGGGAGCAGACCAGGTGATGGATAGCAGCAGGACTTGTTGTCCTCTGCTTTACATGACTCTCATTAAGCTGTAAATCTTTCACAACAACACCCACTGAGACAATGCCACACAGGCTTCTCCTTGCTGCTCCACCTTGCCCTCGGCGTAACAATGAAACTGAATCATTTTGTCAGGACACACAATTGCCTCAGTGTTTCAGACAGCCAGTAAAAATGTTGGACAACACATCAGTGTGTGAATGTGGGTCTTTGGTGAATCATAACAGGCAATCATAATTATTCAACATCTCGATGGTATCTGAGATAGTCACCTGATGACACATATGAAAATAAAATGTAGCAAGCTGATGTAGAAAAATTGGGAATTTTGTACAGTTATGTACCATTACTTGTGAAAACAGATGCATACTATAAATGTCTTATCAGCAAGCTGTACATGTTTACAGTGTAATTTGAGACAAAGTCGAGAAAGATACGAAATTTAATTCAGAGTACATGCAGTTAGATTTTAATGTCAAAAAACAAAAATAAAGAAAAAAGGTAAAACGACGGGAACAAAGTAGGAACACTAAACAAAGTATGATGCTATGATACTGTAAAGCTAATACGCAACACTGCTATAATTTGTTTTTGTAGATTATATACGCTGTAAAATTACAAGCTACAGTACTTTACTGTAATTGAACAAATTACTTACAGCAACTAAGGGCTGTGTGAGGTATAGACCGTAAGATAATCCAAAAAACAAACAAACAACCCTCTCAAATTTATATCTAAAAAATTACACAGTGCTTGCTGATAATCTCAAAAAATATTTGGGCCAGGCACCTCCATAAAAACAGAGACTGCTGTCACCTCCCCTCACCTATGGGCAGCTTTGCTCGCTCTTACTCGGAAAATCAGACACAGCCTTCGTGGGTGATAAGAATAAGTAGGTATACCTGTCCTACTAAACTGTACCACAGATAAAGAATCACGTGCAGCTAACTGGTACAGGATCATATTTGCACACGTGACTACTTTCTCGTTTTTATTAAATTCTGAGATCTGGAATATGAACTTTATTTTTTGTCATTTTCGAGCTTTAGAAATGGCAGGTATTAAAGTTGAAGTATTTTCCTCCAACATGCAGCTTAATGATCACAACAGCTCACAGGTTTGTTTCTGTATGACAGGTTTTGTTTATGTGCCTTTGCATGTTCAGGTTCTCGCCTTAACAAAACCTCGACAAAGCTACACACTGACACCTGCTGGCAGAAAGTTTGTATTGCAACAACCAATATGAAAGATGGGAATTTGTTGCCCTGCATTAGTCCTCGCAGGTCGGCCTTCCGCTCCGTTCGTTTTGACCATCACAAAGGCGTTTTTATTTTATTTTATTTTATTTATTTATTTTTAGCATACACAAATAAGCCAAGGATCAGAGCTTTGGGGGTAAACTTTACTTGTCGCGATGAAACTTCTTTCCTGTCTCTGTCAGTCCCTGTCCTTAAATGTCTCCAGTTGTCCCGAGTTCTCTCTGACTGTCTCCTTGGTGCATTTACACCCCTGTTCCTCCCTGTCCCCGTCGTCTGTTGTCTTTGTCTCCGTTATCAGTCATCATAATTTTACCATCTCTGTGCAAGTCTGCAAATTTCTTTATTAAATCATAAGATTCTTAAATTCATCAAGTCTCTATGTGCCTGCTCCTCGTCACAAAACACATCACTGTTTTGTACATTTTAACACAAGTTAATCCCCACATTTGTGAAAGAAAAGCAAAACACTTTTTTGAAAAGTCTGTAACAAAACCATCAAATCTGATAAAGGTTATTTAAATGCTACAATAGACTACTACTGTCAGGATTCCTGGGTCGTTGACCCAGTGTTTTCCGTTTTGTCATCTTCAGTTTATTTTCACATATGTTTTCTGTGGCAGCATACCGCCTGCGTATTGTGTTCCAGTTATTCCCATGTATCATTAGTCAGATTATGTTCAGCTGTGTACCGGTCTTTCATTATCATCCTCACCAGTCTGTGTATTTAAGCCCTCTGTTTCTATTCGTTCACGGTCGTGTCATTGATGTTACGTTGTCCTTCCCGTGTGTTCCCTCAGTTCAGTCAGCCGTTCAGTTGTCTAGCCAGTCAGTGTCCGTTCACCCACTCCCTATAATAAACCTTCACCTACCTGCCAGTCCTGCGTTTGGGTTCCTTCTTCCTCGCCTCCACACAACGCCTGACAACTACTGCAAAAGAAGAATGGATTGGAATAAAACAAATACATATCTAACCTAAAGTGCGCTTTTGGAAAACATTTACAGCTGCTGTACAGAATCTTTGAAACAAGCTAGCTTAAAACATTTTTAGAAGATAAACAGAGCACTCTGCTTCCCCTTACAGCTCCTCACTCCACCAGGGCTCTGTTTGGCACTTTCTGATAGTGTGCAAATGTGATGCACGTACTGTAGTGCAGTCATACAAACAACTATGGTCCAAAAGTGGGCCTACCTATTACTGGCTGAGGTTTTAGTAGAGTTGTGGCTGAACCACATAAAAATATATAATTAATTTTAATCTCCCCAATCAATGATAATGTTATGTTGGAATGTTGTTAAAGAGGGTCAAAAATGTTTCAACCTGTGTTGCAGATTCTGTATAGCAGATGAAAAAAAAATACATTAATATGAAAAAAAAAATACTATTAAGATAACTAATAATAAAGTCCTCACTCAGTGTACTTTCAACCAAAAGGCAAATAACCAAACCATCTAATAAAAGATATAGATATTGAAAGAAATATTGAAACACTGATCCACATTGATTGATGGATCATTTGATCTTACACTTTTTTTTTTTACCTGAATCTGGCTCCTTTTTTGTGAAAAAACTTCCTTATATCCATTACGAACTTGGCTGTCTCTCTGTGCACACACACACACACACACACACACACCAGGAGTTATAAGGTTAATGGGCATCCAGTCAGTGCAAGACAATATAATTTCCCCATATTAGACAATACAAATCCTCGCAATAGCACACCTGTCGGGAATTAACATTACAGTCTTTAAAAAAAACACATCATGTTGTTTTAAAAAAAGATCAATTTTCCTTGAGATTGCTAACAAAGTTAATCAAAAACTAGTAACTTAACTGTTAGCTTCAGTCATCTGGAGAAAGAGAGCATCCAGGTTACTGAAGACATTTAAAAAAAAAAGTGAATTATTATTAATTATGTATTATCTCAGCATTTTGTCTTTCTTAGAAGTAGCGCCAAGATATTACTACCGAAATAATAAGTTGAAATTTCACTGGTGGAAACAAACTGTGGAATATGAAGACTTAAGGTTAAAGGTAAAATGTATATGTGGACCTGGGGTGGGGGGGTAATTCAGGAAAAAAAACAACAAATAATCCAACAAAACTAAAAATTAGCCCTGCTATGAGCCGGCAGATGTGCCTGACAGACTGAACTCAGGGCACCGAACGTCCCACCACACAGTCCTAAGTAGTGACGTCGTCTTCCTCTTAGTGACTGCTGTTATCAAGATGGCGCTGCGGCCAGGATCTGGGGGAGGTGGCAGGTATTTTAGCCATTTTAAACTGACTCATTTTAGGGGAAGTAATTTGTGCGTGAAACATTCACCCCCGACAGTCGCGGGGCTTCACATTTAGCCACGAGGACGCCCTCAAATATCGCGATAAAGGCTGGCTTAGTTTGTCGGAGCAGGGAGATGAGATGAGATGGCTGGTGGTCAGGTGCCACAGCTAACGTTAGCTGGCTCCTTCTGCCTTTACCTGTCCATGTTCAGAGTGGACCAGACTAACTCCACGGTGTGGTCATATTAACAGATTTCACGCTTAAGTTATTCTGTGGTAGTCATAGTGTCCATTGCTCTCGGTCTCTGGTGATATAACGCGATACTTGCTAGATGAATCTCTTGTAGCATTGCTAGGCAGGCCTGTGGGTGGCTGGTAGGGACACATATTTACACTTTCTCAGAATTATGTTTTCTGTTATTAGGGATTTAGTATGGTGTTGGCTATTTACGAAGATAAAGCATTAGGACGTGAAGATTTGTGGGGAAGGGGTTGATTTAGTTAAGTTTTTGTCCCTGTAACACACCAAGCAGCAGAGACTCTAAGCCCTTCTTCAAGAGTCAGATTGCTCTAATAACTCTCTGCTGAATTACATAATCAGCCCTGTCGCACATGCATATTCCAGTAAGTAGCTGTAAATGGTGAGGAGATGTTCAGGTGTCTTATTAAAGCAGTGTGATGATGGTCTGCAGAGGAGATGAAAAGGCCAGCCTCATGATTTTTTCATAACACGAGCTCCAGCACCCTGAATAATAAATATACTCTGGCTACAAGGCTAGCCAGGTGATACTGATCTGACAGGTGAAACCAAAGCCCTCAAGACTGTCTGTGCCATTCTTTCACTGTGGCTGGTAAAGCCTCTAATGTATACTCTGGTACATTTGGGCTATATTTATATATTTAAAAAATGTGTCATTTATGAGATGGGCCATGCTTAACTTTGACTTTGGAAATCCTTTAAAAAAAAAAAAGTATCTACTTCCATGGTACAGTGTGACTTTTTTATAATCAGTGGTCCCATTTGGTAAAAAACAACCTTGGAAACTTCAATCTTGGAAATCTTGGAAACTGAGTAGCTGCAAGAAATGACAACGTGGGTATGATAAAAGTAAAATGTACCTGAATGCTAAAGTGCAAAGCCAGGAGGTGAAGCCTGTTTGAGAATTCCAGCAACCTTTTGTAGTTTGTAGTAGGGCTGTTCGATATAACGATATATATCGGATGGCAAAAAGTCTATCGTTTCATTTTACGCTATCGTTTGTTTCGTGGTGTCGCAAAATAAACTGTTTACGGCAATATTTTTTCACCGTTTTGATGGTCACTGTAGTGGCTATATTAATTTCTTTAAGTTCTCTCTTTCTCTTATATTTAATATAACCACACTACAGACGGACAAGCGCCTGTTTTTATGCGTTGTGGTTAGCAACAACGACGGTAACACCATCGCGTATCCGCTTGTTTATGTACCACATAAACCTTTCACAATAAAGCTCAAGATCCTGTTGAGACTTTTCAAAATAAACCGAATCGCGTGAAAAAGCAGATTATTAACGGATGAGAAGTAAAAACAGAGCCGCCAGGTGCTAAAAAATAAACCTTAGACTCAAACGTTAGAACAGGCTTTTCCCTGCAGCACGCAGTGTAATAAATACTCACAATAAATAATAAATACTCGGCGTTTACAACTTATGTCTAAAAATGTATCGTTTCATGCATCGGTTAAAACACTCGACTCCAGCTACATGACGCGCAGCTGGAAACACTTCCCGCAAGTAGAGCTGCCCGAGATTCACAGAATTTACAGAAAATGTTATATTTTTGCGATTTATGTCGTTATCGGACGATAGAATTCTTATATCGGGATATGAGATTTTGGTCATATCGCACAGCCCTAGTTTGTAGGCTCCATGCAGATCCTCTGTTTTCAACAAGGCATGTGATTAGATACTTTATGAATGTCAGATGATATCCTGTGCAGAAACCATACTTTTTACACCAGCTATTTAGAATATTTCTTCTTCTCTCAGCTGCTCCCTTTAGGGGTTGCCACAGCAGATCACCTACCTCGATCTCAGTCTCACTCTACCCTTCTCTTCTGACACACCAACCCTCTGCATGCCCTTCTTCACTACATTTGTGAACATCCTCTGAGGTCTTTTTCATTTCCACCTGCCTGGCAGCTCCATATTCAACATCCTTTGTCTTTTTTATCCACTATCCCTCCCCTGCACATGTTCAAACCTCTCTAAATTTTGTTTCCAAACTGGACAACTCACGATGTTCCTGTATATGAGAGAGAAAATGATTAGTGCTTGCTTTTCAGAGTGCTTTCGGTTACTTTTAGTGATGCATTAGTTGTAAAATTCTGGGCCGATACCAATGACATTTTTCCTGCTCTGTTTATTCCCTTGGTTATATCAAGAAAACAAAGAAATCTTCATTATACATAGCTCTGAAATACAAATAATGACATTAAAATCAATACAACTGATAAATCAGTAAATAAGATAACATTTTCTGAGTTCAGTGGTGGATCCGTTGGCTAATATATCAGCCAAATGTCAATCAGTTGGCTGATAACACCTAATAACAGCCGTCCGATAGATTCATTGGCTCCAGCCATGGCGACTTTTTCCTACATAATAGCATCTATGGAAGCAACAGCATTAGCAGCGAATGAGGAAAAGGTGCATTCGTAAGGCAGAAAATTGAGAATTTCTAGCATGTTTCTTTGGGTAAATAACAAAGCCCTAAATAATCAGTTGTTTGTACGTAAATGCTTTAGATCTTTATGTAGCAGAAGTGGCAGGTCTATTAAAAGTAAGCTTTTCCTTTTTATAGGAGTGATTTTAAGTTTGCTCTCTGTTCCTCTATGAGAGCAAATAATTTTAACAGTAACGACTCTGGCTAAAAACTCTGAAACTGTCCCTTCTGTCCCCAAGCATTTAAAGCAGTTTGATGGTAGCTATTAGATGAATCCAGACCTTTTACAAGGCTCAGGCCTGCCTGGTGTCCACAGCTGCTGTCGCCGCTTATCTCCCTCTATGTTAATCCACTCGGCCATGACCTCTGATTTGCTGAAGGATGGCAGACAGTAGTGCCGTCATGCTCAAAAAGCTTTTTAAGCTGCAAATCTTCCAGTGAGCAGATGCAAGAATCTGAAACCCTCTGGTACTTGTCATATTACAACAGTATCCTGTGAGGGGAAACACTGACTTCTTGCTTTGAGTTTAAATGTTTTTAGATGAGCAGAGAAAAGAGGACCACTCATCAGCACCAAGAGTGCCCATAAATTCACATTAGTATGAATTAAATGTGACAGACTCAGGAGGACTTGAACAAATAGCTGTTGTGACTATGTCCCAAATCATAAATGTACAGTACTATGTTGAAGTTGAGCTGCAGCAGGGCTGTAATTTCATGTACTACCATTAGGTAACACAAGATGGCACAGTGATTCAATTGAACCTTTTGTTTAAGCAGGCAAGTTATTAAGAGCACATCCATTTTAACAATGGAAGCCTGCAAAAGGCAAAACCTCTTGGAGAAACGGCTAACCCACACACCCACTGGTAAAACGGTGCCACCTGGTAGAGAAAGCTTTAGGTAAATTCTGCAGAGGGTAATTACAAAAAGTACCTTTAACCCTTAAAATAACAGATAATTTTGGCTCTTTGAAGTAAGCCCATGCAGACACAACATTTCCATGTTATCATATGGGACACTTCAGAGTTCCTCTTGCATTGGGAAAACTCAAAATTTCAAGGATTGTAATTGACCAGTTTTCTAAAGTGGGGTTTAAATTACTCAAACGAAAACAACTTGTGTTTTTTACAAGGACAGAAACACGAGGAAAATTCATAGACCTTAACTAAGGTAACAGGGACTCCAGTTGTGTCTGTGTGCGTACTCCCTCCCCAGAGGCCCGTTTTGTGTTGGAGAAAACCTATAACTCCAGCGGACATGTAGCACCACCTGATGAATATATATGGTTTGCTCTCTGCCAGCTCCCGAGGGAAATATGTGGTTCTTAAGCTGCTAAATGCTCCACTGGGTTTGCTGGCTAGTTACTAATTGTGTTTCAGATACAAGGAAATATGAGGGTTCTCCGGCTGGTTAGACAGTGCTAGTGAATGAAGATATTTGGAAATCGTAATGACTCGGTGAATAATGATAATAACGAATAACGGACAGGGTTAATCGATAAAGAATAGTTGCAGTCGTCGTGTTTACAAGCCTGCATTATGAGCCAGTGCCTGCTTTCTGTCACAGTGATCTCTCTGCTTCCCTTCTGTCAGCACAGTTGTCTCAGTTCTAAAGTTACCAGTATTATATTGTGATGATCACATTAAACTGGGAATCGTTGGAAGCAGAGGCCCGGCTGGCTCCGTCTTCTGTTTGTTTCTGCATCAACGCTTCCAGTCTGTGAGTTGTAGTAAGTTATTTGACAAATAGCCGAAGGCCTGTGTGGGTTGGCTCCGGCGAGGGAGAGACTTGGCCGACTCGTAGAAAGACTTCCTCTGATTATTTCTTAAAGGCCTGTTTCTCAGCACAGCGACAAGAGTCCAAGTCGCCTGCAGAAACTCGCCCAGCCATCTACCCTCCTGTTTATCTGGCGTGAACGTTGCTCCAAAGGATCTGAGGGGTTCTTTGTGAATAAGCCTCAGCTGCTTCGAGTCTGTAGAACAAAACTGCGTCTGCTTGTTGATGTCACTGTCATCAGCAACACACTTTTATCGCATCCGTGTTTAATTTTACCTGTCGGCTTACGGGAGCGTGTTACTGTCATCTGAAGAATTACAGCAACAGGATTCAGATTTGACGCAAGGAGGAAGGCATTTTCAAGTTGTTTTGAGGAGGTTGCAGTTTTACTTTTTTATATTTTTGGTTCTGTTTTGTCATCTCAAATGAGATCAGTATAAAATGGAATAAAATTAAACTGAAGGACCACATGAAACTGAAAAAATGGACTGATTTGTACAGCTCACAGCCTCTCAATCTCATTTATTGTCAAGCAAACATGGCGTCACATCTAATTTCACTTATCTCTTCCACGTCAGTTGTGTTATTATAACGGCTGTTGATTTTAAATGGTATTGTTGCAGCTAAGTGACAACGAGTCATCTGCTGCTATAAATGTTCAGCAGGGGACCGGGGAATAAAAAGGCCACATAAATGAAGGCTGTTTTTAACTTCAGCCTCAGTTTGAATCTCATAATCTGTGTTTTTCTTCTTTATTTCTTTAGTTTTATGTATCCTGTTGGAGGAGGCTTGGGACCGCCGCAAGGTGAGTCATTTCGCAGTGAATATTACCGCTCTTTCCCTCCAAACTGTTTGTGTAAATATATTCAGCTGAGGAGATGGCACACAAATGTGTTTTGTGTGAATTTGAATGGGATCATAGAATATTGCTTTTTGAAGCAAACTGTCAGGATATTGCACTTTAGAATGTAAACGTTGTTTATTTTGACAAATGTTACTAGAAATCTTCATTTTAAATAAAGTGGATATTGAAATACTGATTTTCTAACAAGTATTAGCACAATAAGTGTCATTCTTCCCTCGATGTAATCAGTCACACAAGATGTGATCAAAAGTTTCTCGGCTCTGTAAATAACTTTAAAAAGTTTGGCTCATCTCCTCTTCAGTGTCACCTTCTTTGGCAGCCTTGTACTCTTCTGAAAAAGGCTAGGAACTGGATTAAACTTAAATTTAAGTTATGATTACAAAATAATTTCATCTACTTTCTCTGTAGAGCTGTTTGTTTTTTTATTGTGCTATAATTCAAACGCACTCTGTTCTTTTACAGTTTGTAGTTTTTGCTTAGTTGACTAAAACAGAGCTTCTCTTTACCAAGATCCATACATGAAAAGAGATGAAGAGAAACCCTGGATTGCTCAGGGTCTGTCACCTGGTCCACTTTCAGCACTATGATGCATTTTAGAACATAAATCCACTCCCAACATGTTTTTAAGTTCAGTAAATTAATGTTTAAACTACAGTATTGACCATAATAGTTGTGATTATGATTGTTGCTTTAATCGAGTGCTTGCTCTGTTGATTGAACTTTGTGCGCTTGATTTGCTCCCCTGTATCAAACATCAAGCCTTCAGCTTTCATTTGGGGAAGAGGGTGAAGCCAAATCTGGGTTGGGAGAGAAAAATAAACCAAAATGCAAAATGAAATAAGAGAAATGATGAGGAACATGCTGCAAGCATGCCCCTCTTTAGAGCTAAAAGGAACATGGGAGGACAGCCTAGTAGGGGAGATAGGTTGGCCTTTGACGTTAACTTTGATTGTTTTCGTCCTTTCCTTTTAGTTATTGGTCCTTGCAGTTCTTGGGCATATGAGGATCACTGAGGATTCGGCACATTGCAGCTCATATCTTTGTTACAATGCTCAGCACTGAGCAACGCAGGTCTCAGATGTGCCATCATTTAGCTGTGGCTGCTCGTCCTACTCAGACTGTTGGCTTTGCAGTAACGCCTCCAGATAAACCACGCATGCACTGGTGGGACGAGCGTCTCTTAGGGGTCATTATATGCTCCTGTTAGCAATGTCATTTTAGTCCAACAAATTAGAATGTGCACAGTCTCCCAGACAAGCCATTTACACAGCCCAGTTGAGCCCTAACACGGTGAATCATCTGGAGGCTCCAGTCGGAGCTGGCTGCTCAGCTCTGGTTGTCAGCTTACGTGGCGTCTCTGAAAATAAACACACACTTTTCCAATTTTTCTTCCCCCAATCCTCTTGTTTTGCTCCAAGTTGTCACAGTAGTCACCAGAGAAACAGATTTGGCTGTTGCAAAGCCTGTGTCTTTTTCCAGCTGTTGGAAGAAATGGTAATGGATTTGCAATACCGAATTATGACCGGCCTCTGGAGGCTTTTGTTTTCTCTTTTTCTTGATAACTTAAACTAAGATAAGTAAGTAAATACATTTTATTTCTCCCAATAGTTTGTAAATTCTTCATTATAGCTGTAAAAACTTTAAACGCAGCCTATAACAGTGTAGCTTAATAAAATAAAACATGACCAAAATGAGCTCAATAAGGAAAAATTTACACAAAGGAAAGGTGCTCAGTTAAATGGAAGAAAAATGAATGAGCTCAAAAAGTACATTTTTAAAAACACAGAAGAATCCCCTGTAAAAACCTGAATGTAAAACGGGAAGAAAAAATTAATAAGAAAAAACAGATTAACTTTACTAAACTTGTAATAAATTATTATAAAGAAACAAAGAACTTCATTTATACCAAAAGTTGGGAAGTTACCGTGTTTCAGCAGCCAATAAATCCAAGCACTCATTTGTATTATTAAAAAAATTACACTAAATAAGGAGCTCAGATAAAAAAAAATAAAAAAAAAATAAAAAAAATGAAGAGCTCGATAAATCAGACTCCATATTATTTTGCGGACGCCTCACATTCCCCATGATGATTGCGGGAAGACCTCCAAATCTACTGTTTTCTATGTAGCTTCTCCGGTCTTACAGGCCTTGCTCCAGGCAGTAAAACTGTCAGTGCAATCAGCTGGTGAAGATTCTCTGTTGGCAAGAGAGTAATATGAAGAAAAACTACCAGAAGGCTTGTAAAAATTGATTTTACAAGACCCGTGAATCAAAAAAAAGTAGCCAAATCAACTTCACATGAATCGCACTGAGTAAGAATCAAGGCTATCAGTTAATAAAACCATTAAAATAAATACAAAACAGTAACAATGGAAACTGCATCTCAGTATGGTACCAGGAAAAAATGCAATGTAAAAATTTGAATGTAATACAATAAAAGAGAGTAAAAGAAATTCAATAAATTCAGTAAAGCATGATAAACATGTTACATATAGAATATTTTAACCATGTCTACAGTATGTGATAACAGTGTTTGTGTGTTTCTGCAGGCATGGTACCCATGCAGCAACAGCAGCAGCAGCAACAGCAGGGCTTCCCCATGGTTCCTGTCATGCAGCCTAACATGCAGGGCATGATGGGAATGAACTTTGGAGGCCAGATGCCCCCAGGTGCCATCCCTATGCAGGTCAGCGCTATTTCTTATATGTTGTGCTTGGTTCTGTGTTTGCATGTGTTTTTTTGGGAGGCGAGGGTCAAATTAATATTTCCCTGAGGATTTATTTATGTATTTATTTATTCTCTTGTAGTATTTTGAGTGAACTTGCTAATTTGGCTGTATTTGGTGCATACATAGTAGTGAAACACTGCTGTATTGATTTAACTGATTTCACTCATGTGGAAGGCTGGCTTTACAGCTCCTCTTGAACTCATTTGCTTCCATGTTAATCTCTCCACAAACAGTTTTAAACACCAGCACATTAACAGGAATTTATTGTTGCCTGGTGATGTTTAACAAGACTTTAATCCATTAACATTTTGCTTTCCCTTGGTTAAAGCATTTGATAATCACACGAGCGGAGCAGGAATGCTAAATAGTTTGTTGCATGTTTTTTTGGGGGGGGGTGGGGGTCTAACAGGGTGGAATGGCGATTGGGATGCAGACCCCTGGGATGCAGTTCTTGGGTCAGCCACAGTTCATGGGTATGAGACCAGCAGGACCCCAGTACACAGCTGACATGCAGAAACAGATGGCTGAAGAGCACCAGTAAGTCATCTTTACACCTCCATTATAATTCCTCTTTGTGTAGATCAAGTTTAAGTAAGCAGCTAGCTTAAAAAACAGTGCTGTGGAAAATAAACTTCCCTTTAACACATTCAAATTTTCTGTCAACTTCAGTTTCTGGTTACTTCTCATACTTTTTAATAGAGCCTTAGTGTCCAAATTAGGTAATCTTTTCCCCAAATACACTGAAAGATCTGAGTTTACCATCTGAGAGCATTCTGCTACTTTTTAGGACGTATAATCCCCCAAACCCTAACCCACTAACCCTGTAAAGCCTCTTGGATTAGCTGGAAAATTCATTATCACAAAGCTGACAACATAAAGTTAGGTGATTTTTAAAGCTCTTGAAAAATGGACTTCTTCAACATCTTCTCACAGCACAGCAGCACTCCAAACATCTTAAAGAATATGGATACTGGGTTGGGTTTTAATCATGTGTTGTTGCTTATTTTACTGGAGTAAAGTGTCTAAATGCTTCTTTGAGCACTGCAAAAGAAACCACACTTTTCCCTGCACTTTAGTTTACTTATTTATTTTTTGATTTCTAAATGTTTAGATTTGTGTGACTGTACACTTGAGAGATTGATGCATCTTCAAATGCGATGTCTGCACGTTACATTTAAAGGAACCAAGTGAATCCTTGTTTTATGTCTCACAAGTACTATTTTAGCCCCAAACTGTAGATTGTGCGGTCACTGTTGGTCCTCAGTGGATGAGTCCTAATAACCTAGATGGTCCCGTTGACAAGTTGACATTTGTGGTTTTAAATGAAATGTCACAAAAACTCTTGGTTGGACTGCCATGACATTTGGTTCACAGATTCATGTACCCGTCATGATGAATTGTAATCAGTTGATGAACTTTGCATTAAAGGCCATCAGGGCACAGTTTAAATTTGTCCAAACACCTGTAAAGCTGATGACATTCCCAGCTGCCTCAGCTGTACTGTATGTAGTGCTAATTAGTGCATGTGAGTGTGTGAAGGAGAAGAAGAATATGAAGCAAGAGAGTAGTAGAGAGAGGAGGGGGGCAACCGGGGGGGAGCAGCAGTCAAACATGCAAATAATCTTGTCTCACTAAAATAAATACACAATACAGGATATTAACATGTTAATACCAAATAAAAATCAGCATGTTGGCTTCATCTTTATACATTCAAATAAATTCATTTTCAATTCATACTTAAATGTTTCAGATCATCAAACAAATTTCAATATAAAGATCATGCACGTAAACACAAAATGCAGTCTCTAAATGAAGGTGTTTATTATTAAAAGGAGAAAAAATCCAGACCTCCATGGCCATGTGTGAAAAAATTATTACCCCCTAAACCTTATAACTGGTTGGGCCAGCGTTAATAGCAACAACTGGAATCAAGCATTTGCGATAACTGGCAGTGAGTCTTTTACAGCCCTGTGAAAGAATTTTGACCCACTCATCTTTGCAGACTTGCTGTAATTCAGCCCCATTGGAGGGTTTTCAAGCATGAACCGCCTTTTTAAGGTCAAGCCACAGCATCGGATAAGAGAGCTTATCACAGTTAATTCATGATTTAACAAGGCGGTGGCAGTCACTTTTTCTGACAGAGCTGTAGGGTTTGGTTGTTTTCCCCTTAATAATAAACACCTTCATTTAGAAGCTGCATTTTATGTTTACTTGCGTGATCTTTATCGAATATTTAAATTTGTTTGATAATCTGAAAGATTTAAGACAAAAAAATTGGAATTCAGGAAGGGGGGCAAGGACTTTTTCACACGACTGTATGTAGCGCCAAATCACAACAACATTGATCTCATTTTTGTTGTCAGAAAAAAAACGTGCAATACGTCAGGTTGGCCTTTATTGCTTATCTTAATGGAGCACTGTGTCCAAGTACAGCCTCACAGACCACACGGCTAATGTGTCTTGTGGATTTTGATCCTTTTAAGATTATTTTCCAGAACAAAAACTAACACACTGAATCAGTTTAAGCACCAGGGCTGCTGCTCTTAGCTGACCCCTGATCTGATAGCTTTCTGGTCCTCTTCTCCATTAACATAAATAAATCATTATTATTTTTTTATAGATCCTCCTTCTCTTTTTTAGTAAGTTGTTTTATTTTCATCACTTTCTGTCAGTTAAATCTGCCCATTGTATCTCAATACTAAAATATAAAAATGACACAGTTTTCACAATTTTGCCTCTGTACGCCATCGCAATAACTCAAGAGACGATTAAAGTGTATAAAGTGAAGAGTTTCGGCTTTACTTCAAGGCTGTTGCTTAGGAATTTAAATATTATTTGTGCTATTTTTTTAAGAGCATAACTTTGTAATTATAGGTTTGGATTTGCGTTTCCCTTCTTTCTCCTCTCAGGCAAAAATGCAGAGAAATACTTAATCCACAAGTTTATATGTAAAATGGTTAAAGTGATAAAATGTAAGTCTAGCTATAATAAGATAAGTAAACCGCAGAATGAACCGAATGAACTGAGAAATGTTGAAATGTTTTTACAAACTTCCATCAGACAACACGAACCTTCAGCTGCTGTTTTAACAAGCTTCCTTTGCGCTCATCCTTCTTAAGAGTCATATGTATTATGCTGTACTCTTCTTGCCCTTTAGAAAACGTCTGGAGCAGCAGCAGAAAATGCTGGAGGAAGACAGGAAAAGAAGACAATTTGAGGAGCAGAAACAGAAGCTGAGGCTGCTCAGCAGTGTCAAACCCAAGGTGAGCCTCTCTCCACATCTCGTTCTGCTTGTTTTTCCTGGCATGTCCACTGCTCGTTTTACTGACCCTCTGGACTCTCGATACCCAATTGTGCTGCGCTCAGACGGGGGAGAAGAGCCGCGATGACGCCTTGGAGGCAATCAAAGGCAACCTGGACGGTTTCAGCAGAGATGCAAAGATGCACCCCACTCCATCATCTCAGACCCAGAAGCCAGGTACCTTAGCACTTGGAGTTAAAAGTGTTTTCTGCTAAAGCTTCTTGCTTTAAAAAAAACCCTATAATAACTGAGTGATTGTTGGTTCACCAGACCACTGTATAATATTCTTTACTTAACTCACCCCTGTGTATTTGAGGAAATTTTGGAGATGCATTTAACAAATACACCGCATCTTGTGCAGTGCTTCCCGACCTTTCTGAACTATGAAACCTAGCAGTATTAACTTGCTGCTCCATGTTGCCAGTTTGAGATCTGGTTCAAGGACACTTTTGAGTATAAGTTTCATTTCTGTAATACTATAACTTGCGTCAATCATCTCAAGGCTCCTTATAGATTTATCAGTTTCTCCTGGGTGCAGACTTCTGCTTCAGCTGTTGGAATCTGTACAAATGTTGCGGTTTTGAAAGTGAATTATCAGAAATCCATCTAAACGATGGAGTAAATCTGAATATAAGTTAAGTGTTCTTCAGTTTGCAGATCTACAATTTCTGCTCTTGCACAAAAAGTCATTATCTCACTCTTGCACTGTGCAGCTCCGAAATCATCTTCCATTGTAGTGTGTTTGTCATGTGCTGTGCCATCATCATTATTTCTTCATTTTTGCAGACTCATCGCCATCACACCCGTCTGTCACTGCTCCCTCCCTTCCCCCAGCTATGTCTGAGGATAATGATGACTTTAGTGACTTTCAGGGCCCTGTCGATACCCCCACGTCGTTCCCTTTGCCCCCCTCCTCATCCTCTTCCTCCTTCACCACCACTCCCTCCAGCTTTGGGTTCTCCTCTCAGGCCCAGCCTTCATCCTCTGCCCCCAACATAGGTTTCTCTGAGGACGATGACGAGTTTAGTGACTTTGTTCAGGGACCTGTAAACACTTTCCCTTCTGCCAACTTCCACCTCTCCTCTCAGTCGCAAGTCCAATCGACTTTTCCACCCTCACAATCCCTCCCCTCTTCTGTGTCCATTCACACTGACACCCAACACTCTGCTGTCAGCACCAGCACCCAGTCTGCATTTCAAGGTAACTCTTCTCTTGCTTTGTTCACACCTCCCCCTCCCATCCCTCTAATTTGCCCTTTTTTCCACCTAGTTTGGAGGAATTTTTTACATTAGTGATTCTTTTATCACTGATGCTGAATGCTTTTACTGGTAACCCTGGATGATGGGTTCGTTTTGACCTGCATTAATGTGTGAGAGCATGCATCTAGCTAGACCAGCAGATGACCTCAGTACTCAACACTAAAGGGTAAACAAGGATGCACAATAAATAAGGAATACTGTTGAAAATGACTGTTTCTCAGTAGGTTTTTCCCCATGCAGTAGTTGCGTTTCCTTTTGATAGTGAATTTATGATTTGTGCACTGGTAGAGGACTGTCATGTCATTTGTCATTTGCCCTGTAATCTCTGGGATGAGCAGCTGCTCTGTGACAGCTTTCAGTCTCAGACTGTGAATGACAGGGTGCAGAGATCACCTTCTGTCCAGAGCAATTCAGCAACCCTCCGCCCAGTGTCATCCTTGATTCTCTGAGACATCTCTGACCTAATTGTTTAGCATCTGGAATAAGCAGATTAGATGGCTGATGGATAGATTGCCTCTGATATTAAGAGACCTGAGGAATTTATCTTGCAGTGTCTTTGTTGAAATTCAGTCAGGTAACATTTCTGTTTAGGGGGCTGTTTACAAATGATCTCATTTGCTTTTTTTTAATCTTATTTCCAACAAATAACACTAAATAATATCTGATACTTGGCTTCTTACGGATTTTCTAAAGAAAGGTTTGGTTAAAAAGAAGAATATATTGGTACCCCTTGAGAAAGGCTGTACTTTGGGTAATAATGGTTAAAGTGCCTGCTGTTATCAGCTCAAGAAAAAGATCTGTCACTGAATTTGTTAGTGTGCTTTTGTATGTGGGATTTTGTGTGGTTTTTGGGCAAATCTCCTTAAAGCTTCTTAAAGAAGCCCTGTGGAGTTCTCTAGAGGAACAAAAGTTACATTTCTGTTCAGTCTTAGTCACCAGAAACTGTCCTTAATTCTTAGAAGACATGCTGATTGAATTCCTGCTTTCTAAAACATTTGCAAAGACTAATTGAATTTAAATGTTAAAATCAGTATTCAAAATTGTGCAGGCATGTTTTCCCCTGCCTTTGTTGGTGTATTGCTGCACATTTTGGCATGTTACTGCAGCTTGTTATAAGTGCAGTAGGGAATCATGTGTGCATGCATGCATGCATTCATCATACCCATTCTGAGTGTGCATGTGAGAACACATTGACAAACAAAGTTGGCCCAGATATTAGTTAGTTGATGTTGGATTGCACTGGGTTGCAAATAGTTAAGTTCAGTTAATGCCTGTTAAGTAGTTATGTGTCCTGCCACCTGCATGATCTACCCAACGGCTCCCATACCTAAAGCACAGTAGTGGTTTAGTAGTGCGAATGCTTTTGAGGTGGACTATTTCCTGCCGTATGCTACATGCAGAAAAGGAAAACTGTGGAAAGTATTCCAAAATTGTCAGCTGTTTATGTTTGAAAACAGCTACAGGAAAGGAGCACAATAATGCTACAAGACGCCTGAACCATGATTAGCAACCTTTTATAACTGCTACTGACTGCTTCAGTCTTATCTTGCATATCAGATCTCAAACACAAATCTTTAAGTTATAACATAAATCTACTAAAGCATCCCTAATTTCATTTGCAAATTGAGCCTATAAATAGATGCGTTAAGTGTGCATTGTTGCTAGTATGTGTTAAAGAAGCTTGTTCCTCATCCACCCCTCTAGGCCCATCCCTGGAAGAGAAGCTGTTCTCCTCCTGTGATCTCACAGCTGATAAGACTGCGCAGGTTAGCTTTAAGTCCAAGCAGAGTTTGGCTGAAATGACTCCTAGAGCTAAAGTTTCAGCCCAGTTTCAGCCCAGTACTAAAGCGAGGAACTGGGCCGCGGCCACCGAGGACTTGAGCTCTGTCTTCGTCACAGAAAAGCCACCAGAGGCCCCGGTACCAGCGCCCAAACTCCCCCCATCAGCTGCTGGCGCATCTCCTCAAACCAGTAGTGACAGTGGTGAGAGAAGTACCCGTTCACTGGACTTCATAGCTGCTGCTTCTCTCTTGCTTTTCAGCATTAACAAACAATCAGGGTGGTAGTTCTCTTTCTGTCCTTGAGAAATATTTTCATTCTTTCTAACCCTGACAAAATAATTGTATGCCTCTTCTGGCAGTTTAATCTCCTCTATCTCTTTGGGTTATAATTGATTTATGCTAGATCCTGGACTGGGCATCCTACTGTTGTAGCCTGCGTGCTGTTAAATGAAATCAAGTTGATGTTTTCTTCGCTGCTGAGGTGACGATGTCTTTGAGGTGCCCTTCCTTGTGTCTCTCCATCGTCTCCTAAATCTCTGCTCCTATTTCTTCCTGCTTTATACCTCTGTCTTGTTAGCGGGGCTCTCTTATGTCACTGCTCCCTGCACAGACTGTGGAAATGGACTGTGTCTGTCAAGGTCCTTGGGTGATACCTGCTGACTAAATAAGCCGCCGTCTGTTCACTCACTGTGTAACACCCTCTCAGAGAACGACCTCTGGCGCATGCTGACTGCTTTGGTTTAACAGGGATGCGCATGGATTGGCAGGTGCCACTGGGGCCCAACATAATCCAAGGCTGATTGTGCATGCTACTCTGCTACTCCTTTGTGCTGTTATTTGTTTGTCTGTGTCCGTGTCCTCCGCGTCATCAGGGGAAATATTGCGGCTCATCACGGGGACCAGGGGAGATTTGTAATAAGATTCATTTAACTGCTCAAGACTGATGGAAGTATTATGTGCAAAGTGGGTGTCTGAGTAAACACCTGCCTTGCAGACAGAGTGTCAGGGACTCGAAATGAGCCATAGCAGTTTACTGAAATGTCTGGTTGTCTGTTTTCTAGAAAAGAATAATTTAGGTCAATGTCAGCAGTTAAATTATATTTTTAGTTAGTTTTTCTTACAAGGCAATTGCCTCTCTCCTCTCTCCTTGAAGCTGGAAATGACTCACAGACTGATTTATAGATGTCTGATGTGGCAGGGCGTTTGTGATTCAGTGCAGGGGAGCGTTACATCTGCACCGAGCCTTCCAGACATCAGGTGTATAATTTTGTCGAGCTCGATATGAGCAGGGCTCAGCTGCCAAGAGACTTGGCAGATCGTAAGCCTGGACAAGACTTTTGCTTCAACAGCTAATTGTGTGTCTGTGTGTGTGTATATGTGTGCTTGTGCTTCTGACAGCAGGTGTTGGTGTGTATCCACAACAAGAGCACATTCAGACCATGCTGCCCGCCTGGGTTTACAACGACAGCCTCGTCCCAGGTAAACGTTTACTCTCAAAAACATCCAGTTTAATTTTCAGACGACGATATTCAACATCACTGTGTGTTTTGCGGAAAGAAATGACACGAATTGCAAAAATGTTTTGTTTTTCTTTTCCCAGAAATGTTCAAGAAGGTTCTTGAAATCACCATGACTCCGGCAGGGATAGACACAGCCAAACTCTACCCGATATTAATGTCATCAGGTCTTCCCAGGGAAGCACTCGGGCAAATCTGGGCATCAGCCAACCGCACAACACCTGGCATGCTGACCAAGGAGGAACTTTACACTGTACTTGCACTAATTGGGGTGGCGCAGGTAATCACTGAAGTCAAAACAAATTATCCACTTAGAACAACTCCACTAATCATCTCCCACAGCTTCCGCAGAGCCTCGCCATAAACTCCTCACTGAAATTAGCTGGGCTTAGTTCAAAATGGAGAGAAAAGAAGCGGTGCTGTGACTCAGCCCGCGGCCTGTGAAGCGTTATAAGTCCAATATATGGCTGAGTCCCCATCAACCAAGTTTGGCAGGAGGCTTCTTATCACTCTCAGCCCGGGCCTGTCACCACCACCCCTGGGAGGATGCAAATCTTCAGGCAGCTCACGAAACACTGCATGCCTCCGCTTCCATGCGAGGAATAATAAGACACCTTTGGTGATGTAAATCTTCAAGAAGCTTAAAACACAAGCAAAACAAGGTGCATTCTCTTGTGAGGTGGAAGAAAGTTTGAGTCTGCTGGTGACATCTGTTCAAAAGGATTGTGTTGAATAATTTATATATAAATGTTAGTCCTTGGCCACGTTCAGTGAATACAGAAGGGCTTTAAATTATATAGGTTCACAACGATCCGTGTGCCCTGATACCTTTCGTGATTTAACGCATTAACCCCCCCCAAAAGGAAGAAAAAAATGCAGCCAAATGAAACTTTGAAACATCTTACAGGCTTTGTTTTGTATTTGTCATTGCCAACAGTCCTCATGGAAAGACTCAAACTGACTCTGTTACTCTCACTCACTTCTTCACCTTATCTGTGGCTTTCAACCTGAGGCTTTTTTGCAGTCACAGATACATAACTCCATTTTTTAGAAAGTTAAGGTAGATTCCAAAAAAGCTGGGCATCACTGCTTTGACAAACATTGCACACAAAGCGTTTGTTGAAGACTGCTTTGATTATATTTGCAGCTGCAGGACAAAGATTTCATCATGTTTTAATATGCTTTTGCACAACAGCTGAGCTCAGGGGGACCTGCTTCGCTTGAATATTGTTTGTCGCGTCCTTACTTTCAGAGTGGCCTCCCGGCAATGAACGTGGAAATCCTCGGCCAATTTCCTTCTCCTCCCGTGCCGAACCTGCCGGCTCTGGCTATGGCCATGGCCCCTGTCATGCCTCAGCACCAGCAGCCCATGATGACCCAGCCCCCGGTCTCCATGGCCATGCCCACAGCAGCCCCGCCACCAGTCATGCCTATGACACCGGCAGCACCGGCTCAGCCACCCACAAACACAAATTTCATTGCCAGTTTCCCTCCAGCACAGGTATCACAGGTATGCTCAGTTTCTTATTTTCCTGCTGTCGATCACCTCACTCACTTCACTCTCCAACATGATGTTTGCGTAGGGAACCAAAGCCGATGACGATGACTTCCAGGACTTCCAGGAAGCTCCAAAGGCAGGAGGAGACCAAGCTTTCTCTGACTTTCAGGGGGAATCGGGAGGAAGCTTCCCTACTACCATTGCACCACAGCACCAAAACAGGTACAGGCTTGTTGATGAAGACAGTGAGTCTGCCTTTTTTTCCAGGCTTGTATAATTAGGAGCATTTTAAGAGCTTATGTGACCCTAATTATAAGCTACATTAAATAAGATTGGGTATTTCTTATTCTAGCTCTCTCTCCTTTTGTTCTCTGTGCTGTAAATATTTGCAGAGATGAGCATCAAATATTCAGCCCTAGATGATTATTTATAGCTGACTCATCCTGCATAATATTTGTACTTCTCATTGTCTGTCTTACAGTCAGAGGCACTGTTTCAATATCTTGTAATAACCTCCTCTGAATAGGAATGAGTTTGGGTCATCTACTAATGAATTCATTTCAGTGGACAGTAGATAAGCTCGTTTCTTTATATTACTTCTTTCCGAGCCTTTCTGGAGCAACCGTGCCTTCAGTGAGAGGAAGCTGAAAGGCAATTATCCACTGAAAGACAAAGAGAAAGCAGAATTAAAGTATCTGAAATCTAAGTGGCATAGGCGTTTTATGATTCTCTCCTATTTCGCAACTGAAAAAATCCAGTCCTGACGGTTTCATCAATGTAACAAGAATTCCCCGCAGACTGAGATTGCTTTCTAATTAAATGAGAGGCTGAACAGCTCATATTGGGCTGCCAGCCTGAACTGGCACCCATAACTTACTGTCGGATGTCTTACAGAAAAAGCGCTTTGAGGAAACTAATATTCACTGAGTTTAACAATTTCCCTAAGCCCCTGATTTGTCTGTTTTAGCATATGATCATGCATAATGGTCATCATATTTCTTGCTTTTGGCCTGTATTAAAGCATCCTTCACTTTCAGGAATAGTTTGGCATTTTGGGATTATGCTGGTTAGTTTTCTGTTGTGTTGAGAAGACTGAAGCCACTTTCTTGGACTGGCTCTTTCATCAGTTGACTGAAGTCTGTCAGCAGCAGCTCTTAAGCTCGCAAATAAACCAGTCTGTGCAAAAAACTGAGGTGTAAAAATATGTTTTGGGTTTCAGTGGTTGATCATGCATCTCAGGTTGGACTGTTAACGTCCTGGAGTCTTCAGTGGGTGCAGGACAGCACAAACCCTCTAAATTAAATTAAATATAAAGTGGTAATTAACATGTATCAAAGGGGCTGGAAGGTGTTCACGTCTCACGCTAAACAAAACTAGCTCGCTACTGAATAGCCTGAATATTAAGAGACAGTAAAAGTAGTATTATCAAAATCTCTTTTTAGACCTAAATCAATATAGGATTTTTAAGACCAGTACCAATATTTGGCAATTTTTAAAAACTGGTATATCACTATATTTTTTTAATATAACAGAGCTATTTAAAAGTAATGTTGCTCTAGTGTTACAACAGGCCACGGATTACTTATTTACACTCTGCTTGGATCAGCTGCTTGTTCTTTGGGGCATTCCAAACATGTGCTGCTAACACGCAGTCCAGTACATTTTGTCCGAATTAGTAAAACAAGATATAAATACTTTTGTTGGTGAGCTGGATGTGAGACAGTGGGCGTGTATTTTTATTCCTAAGCAGAGCTACCTTCTGCCTGTTCAGTGGCCTTAATGGATGAAAGGACACCAAGAGCTTGTAACAAAAGGAAAAAAAAAAAGGAAGCTGTTTCTCTCCAAATTGTGAACCCAGGGCAAACGTTCAGCTCAGGCAGCTTATAGGGATTAAACTTTACCTTTGAACTTCGCCCATCATGATGTCTGACGATTCGCTTTTGTGTCCCTGCAGCACGCCTGCCTTGCTGACTCCAGTGTCTGGTTCCTCCTCCGCCTCCGTTACATCTTCTGATAAGTACGCCGTGTTCAAGCAGCTGTCTGTGGATCAGCCTGCAGAGCCTACACCCCCTGCCTCAGGTACGTTGGATACCTCATGTAATAGTGTTAGTCCTCTTGGGGGTACATACTGGGACCAAAACATAAAGTCAGTCAGAGAAGGAAACAATATTATCATCACAGCAGCATGGGGAACAGCACGTTCCGTTCCTTCCTGTGTAGATAACTGGCAAGGATTCATTAAAAGCAGAAAGTGATAACATGACATTTCCAGGTATTTCATCATGTCGAGCCCTTTTATTACATCTAAAATACGAAATTGATCCCTGAAGGTTAAAGCAGCTTACATAAGGACACGTTCAGTTCACAAACTAAGTTTTGGCCCTTGAACGATACAGGGAGAGTAAATTTCTTTCATATTGCTCTTTATAGTTACCAATTCTTCTTTATTTGCTCTGATCCAGATATTGGAGACAAATACAGTGTATTCAGACAACTCGAACAACCCGCGGAGAAGAAATCAGTCGGTAAGAGACCCACACATCTCGATCTCTCTGTGAAAAAAAACAACAACACGTTCACCTAATGTACATATTAGCACATCCTTGCTTTTTGACCTCTTTAGGCAGTGACGTAGAGAACTAAGAGATGAACTTTATGAACATCACATCATCCCCAGGAAACAAATGGTTTCTTTTTATGTTCTCTAATTAAACTGTGTATTATAACTTGGACAAAGCTGTCAGGTCACCACACTACCACAGAGCCATGTTTACACTGTGTCTTGTATTGCAAGCCTGTAGCGTTGATACCCACTGTGTTTCCCATCCCTGTTTCATTAGAACAGTTTCCGATGGGGACACCTCTTACAACTCCAGTAAGTCATGCTTTGCAGTGACCTTTCTTTGGCATTGTCAGGCTCCATCTCCTTAATGAGCCCATTAGTTATCGCTCTTCCACCGTACACCAGCGGTGTGAACAGAATCTCTATTTCAGCATGCATACGTTACTCCACAGGATTAACAACTGCTGAAAACTTGAGAATTTATTCTGACTTTTTTCTGTGTGGTTTTTGTAAAAAAGAGGCAAAAGTTTTCCCACTGCTATAAATACCCATCACAGTTATCTGCAGAAAATGATAATAGTTTGTTCTAGCTTTTTTACTTTTAGCTAACAACTTCATCAGGATTCTGTAGATGTAATATTGTTTCCTGATAACAAGTCATATCTGTCTTTTTCTAAGCTGTTTTGTCATAAATAGCATTTTCTGTCAGGTTCAGACTCTCTCATCAGAAAACTTCAGACATTTGCATAAAAGTCTGTGATAAACACAGCCACTAAACTCAGGTGTAAACTATCATTGCCTAAAGATATTTGATGCTATAAAATATAAACCTAAAATACAGAAATTACACTGGAAACCATTTGGCCTCGTCTACTTCCCTGGAAGATATTGGATATTGTAGACAAAAATGACGTGTTGGATGGTAATTTTTGCAGAATGACTATAATCAACAGTTCCTTGCGTGGTAGTGTCGATGTACATGCACCGTTTCTCATTAGTTTGGGGTCATTTGAAAGAAAAGCACATTTGTTTTTAGTAAAGTAAAGTTGATTGAGGATTTATTTTGTAGAAATTCCATTAAAAGTTATATGATGTAGGAAGTATTACTTTTTTTAATTATATATTTAATGAAAAGAAGTGTGCATTTCTTTAAAAAAAAAAAACCCAGCCCTAAACTTTTGAGTGATAGTGTATGGAGAGCTTTTTGTGCAGTGATGTATGATCTTCTTTGCACACTGCAGCCCAAAGTTCACCAGTGGAGCAAAGGAGTAACTAATGCACCATTCCTCTCTCTTTTAGGATTGTAAAATAACTGAATGGTAGCTGTTGCAGCTGAGACCTTTTGGCCCCTTTATATCTCTCTGTTGTTTTTTTTTACTAATCTTAAATTCTTCTCTTTGGTTTACAGGAGAAGGATTTGCAGATTTCAAGTCTGTCGGCACAGTCGATGATGGCTTCACAGACTTTAAAACAGCCGACAGCGTCTCTCCACTAGACCCTCCAGATCAAGCCAAGCTCTTTCAACCTTCCTTCCCCTCTGCTTTTCCAAACTCTCAGTCACTACAGCAGCTTCCCCAGCAACAGCCAGCAGTGTCTCTTTCTCAGCCCAAAAATCCTCTCAACATGGCTGACCTGGACCTTTTCTCTTCTATAGCGCCCTCTGTTCCTGCCCCCACTGAGACAAAACCCAGCACATTCCCTTCTGTGTCTGTGCCCCCCTCTCTCGTCCTCCTGCCAGGTGGAGCAAAACCTCCGGGAGGAGGGGCAGATGAGTTTGGGGATTTTGCCCTCTTTGGCTCCTCTTCTGACTCCACTCAAGCTTCAGCCGCAGGAGGAGCTGCCTCAGCACCTCAGGATGACTTTGCAGACTTCATGGCATTTGGCAGCTCTGGTGGAGAGCCTAAAGGCGAGAGCAGCGCGGGTGTTCAAGGGGAAACCTCCACACAGCAGCGGTCTCAGCAGAGCTCTGACAAATACGACATATTCAAACAACTTTCTCTGGAAGGAGGCCTCGCCTACGATGACACCAAGGAGAGCGGCGCCGGCTCCTTCTCGTCACTCAAGAGCGACAACGACGACTTTGCCGAATTTCAGTCCTCGAAGTTCTGCACAGCACTCGGTGCTTCTGAAAAGACTCTGGGTGACAAGGTGGCCGCGTTCAAACAGGCCAAGGAAGACTCTGCATCTGTAAAGTCCCTCGACCTCCCGTCCATCGGCGGGAGCAGCGTGGGAAAGGACGACTCTGAGGACGCGCTGTCAGTACAGCTGGACATGAAGCTGTCGGACATGGGAGGAGACCTGAAGCACGTGATGTCAGACAGCTCTCTGGATTTGCCGGGTCTCTCTTCCCACCAGCCCCCTGCTACAGGTGAGGAACTTGTGCGTTTGCTCTGGTGAGGCTCCGTGCAGTGACACACAATATCGCTTTCAAGGCCAGCCAGCCTCTCCTTCTCAGTGACCCCTCCCCCAGACAAGGGGTCAAAGGGCAAATAATGAGGTCCTTGTTGAATTGAACATGCTCAATTGCTGAACACAAACATGAGTAACATATCAAATTAGATGCATCACAGCTTTCATTCTACATTTCATCGTTCATCTCATCATACTCTTTATTTATTACTTATTTATTTAAGTATTTATTTATTGAAATCTTTAGTTTCTTCCTCATTAGTTTTTTTTATCTCCACATTCCTCTTCCCGTATATTGTTATTGTAATGACAGGAAGGTCCTGGCCCATATCTCTTATTTATTTACAAATGATGAGTGCCTGGTTTTGATGTGCTGGCAGTCATAGTTCACAGACGAGGTCCCCCAGCTGCTGCCTGCGCGACTCGGATAAGCCTCCTGTTTGATGTGTCCACACCGCGGCAGGCGGATGTCGCACTTCCTTTCAGTGTACCTAGTGTGTGTGTGTGTGTGTGTGTGTGTGTGTGTGTGTGTTGTTTTGGGCAATGCTAAGAGACGGAGCAGTTGAATACAGATGAGTACAGGAGGGCGTTTATCCTCTTGTTTATTCAAATCACAGGTTTTCGAACAATAGGCTGCAGCTTACCAAAGGCGTTATCCGTAAGCCATCATTTACCTTTTTAACTGATGTGTGCAAAAAGCACAGCAGATGACTTAATTTTGATTCGCTTGAAATAAAATGTTACCATTAATATGACGTTTTGCATGCAAAAACTGGAGACTATTTTCATATAGAGCAACAGTGATTTGTCACTATTAAAAATATTATAGGTGGATGTGAGGGCTTGAATGTGAGTGCATGCATTTGTCTCTTTATGCCTGTCAGTTATTGTATTACCCTGCAGTATTTTCACATTAACCACGGAGTATGTTTTGGATCAAATGGACGTCTAATTGTAAGATGTCTAAATAATAGCGTGTCTGCTTTTTCCTCCCCTACCTCACATCCATGAAAGTGGAGTTAAAGTTTACCTAAAGCTCGTCCTTTTATAAAAAGGGAAATCAATCTAGTGTCTGTTAATAATCGGGTAGTGTCCGTGTCCTTTTTTCCCCCCTCTCTTCACTGCTCATCATTTATTCATCAGGCATCTCGTCTTCCACATCATGCGTCGTGTTTCATGCAAAACATTTCAAACCATTCTTGCAGTGTAACATGAGATGGGTTGCATGTGTTCTCAGGTGAAGGCTCTGTAATTCAAACATTTGCCAACTTGAAGGGAGCTTTCATTTTTATTTCAAAGCTCAGACAAAGCTTGAGAAGTTTGTACAAATTGACCAAATCTCCACCTGACAACAGTCGTGCAATCAGCTTCCAATATTTCGTCACATATCATTAATTATCATCACATGTGTCAACTTATTTCATCCAAGAAACTGATACTTTATCCTTGACTAGAAAAAGATGTAAACATCCCCATTGCCTTATTTCAGTTTCTGTGCAGTGGTCAGATTTTGGTTAAACCCAAACAGGCCCCTCCGCACGGAGAGCAAACAATCCAGTCCATGGAGCTGCAGCGAAACCGCTGATCGGGTAAAGACCTGCCCGCTTTAACATCGATACATTCCTGAGAAGCTTATACGCTACCGTGACGGCGGTTTCATTTCACCCTTATTTATCAGCTGTTCTCGGAGAGCTCTGGGACTAACCTGTCGTTAACGTGTAGCAGTCCGAGCAGTTTGAGCACCTCACCACGCTTTGCACTGTGTTTTTGGAAATGTATGTAAGCTTAAAGAGACAGTATTTCTTTTCTGAGGTTCCTTTTGAGTCGCAAGAGGAATCAAATTTTCTTTCTCGTAATTTTCTTTTCTTTTTTTCAAAAAATCCGTTATCTGTGATATCGCAGCATGAATTTTTATCACGTGTGGCTCTACGGTCTGGCTCTTTGTGAGCATAATGAAGTTAGTATTACCCTTCCTGCCTTGCTTTTTGCTGCAGTGTGCCTGCCTTTTCAATTTGTGAAATTGACAAGAACGTAATACAAAATAACCATTTTATGCATAACAGTATTGCAAGTTGTTTTTATCAAGGGAGAAATGTGTACATGCAGATTTAATAGTGTATTTTTATTACAGGAATATGACCTCTTATTTTGAGACTATAGGAAGACTTCTCGATCTTGTTGTGATTTGCCAACTATGTAAATTAAATGTAGCCGACAGTATTTAGTAGAATCAGAGTATTTTTAGTTCAACGTGGATTCAAACATCAAAGTTTTTAGTAAATAATGATGTGTTATTAATCAAGGGGAATTAGTGCTCATCATCCTGCTTTGACAAACAATCACTGTAGCAAGAGGGGAAAAAAAGGATACTGTCTCTTTAAATCTGTTCCTGCATCTGTGATTGGATGTAATGGAAGCCCTTACTGGGATGCCAGGTGTAAGGATGGCCCTCTTTGTTTTCTGTAACCCTTTGAGGGCTTGAATGATATCGCTTCACATGTTTACATGCAGATTAATGCAGATATCCTGATCTCTTACCCTTATTTATTAAAGACTAAATATGTACAGATAGCAGCCTCCTTGCTGCTTCTAAAGTTTAGCTTCCTCCCTGTCAGTTTGTCCCCTCAGGTCCTCAAAGGGTTAATGCTTCCTGCCTTGTTCTTTGAATAATCTTTCAACCTGGCCTTTTCAAGTGTTCTGTATTCAAATCTTTTTTTTTTTCCCCCAAAAAAACAAAACAAAACAAAAAAATACACCTGTTGATTTACATCCTTATAGTAAAAGAAAGTTTGTCATCTTCCCAGAATTACTGATTCTAGTCTGTGAATGTGCCTTCTCATTCTGCTTCTATATCCTCGGATTATCTTTGTTTTACTTTCTCGCTGTTTGTTTTCTTCCTTTTCTCCTGACTCTGCATGCACTTGTATTCCAGATGACTGAAATTTAATTTTCAAAGTGTTAGTTTGACTAAACCTCTTGTAATGGTAGACCTCTTTCACAGTTCTTTGTGACCTCTCTCTCTCTCTCTCTCTCTCTCCCTACTCATGTTGTCGTAATAAATATTACTGTTGGTATTGCTGAAACGCGTACCGTCTTATTTCTCCTTTCCTTTCCTGTGAGGCGTAATGTGGTTGTAATGACACGAGGCTCACACCACTCGATCCTTGTCAATTTCACAAATTGCTTTTTGTGTCTGAGGGTTCTGTCATGCAAAATAGGAAGGCTTCAACAAGGTGGATTTATGTGTTTGCGAGTGTCTGAAGGAGACCTGAATGCTAAAGCGTTGACAAATGTGTGCAAGCTGCGCAGCTGTCAGTCAGTATCAGTCATAAAGAAAGTGATCAAAACACTTGTGAGAAACAGGGCAGACGCAGTGACAGGAAAGATCTTTTATTGATGTTGTTAGAGCGTCTGCCTCGAGACAAAAGCCTTCAGGTTGCATTTAATATAAAGAGATCAACTCTGATTATTGTTAGCCAAGCTGTTTGTCACCAGTGAAAGCAGCGAGTGTTGTCATATGGCCACGAGAAAAAAAAAGTTGCGTAAACATGACTCACCTCAGGCATAAAAACACCAAGGAATAATTTATTAAAGGGAAGATGTATTAATGTATTAATGCCTTGCATCATAGAGGGTTGATACAAGGCCTTGTTGTCAGTTTCACAAATCTGCATTATAAAAACTGTTTGTGGGCCCTTTGGATTACCAGGATTTCTGCATTGATTAGTATTGTTTACATATAAAACAACATCTGATCGACATCAGTGTCACGGCTTCAAACAAACACAGTCTGGTTAAACGCACTCCCACAGACATGCACACAGAGCACAGGCTGGAAAAAGTCATCCGATTAAAAGAGGAGAAATTTCAAATCAGTTCTAGAAAATTGTTTAAATTCATTGTTATTTTTGGGATTAGGGGGACACATCTCCTCACTTCACTGTAATCCTATAGTCACACTGAAGAAGACGCTAATTGGAGACCAGATTGTTCATATAATAATCGTGTTATCTCCTTGCCTTTGAAGTGGTCGCTTCAAAGACAGGGATCAGGTCTACCGCCAGTCACAGTCAGTCGACATCTTCAAAACAACTTTGGCGCATCAAGATTGCAATAAGATCTGCCATCAGTTTGCCATGACATCTGTTTGCCATTGTTCTATTGTTCTTCTTCTACATAAACAGAGTTTCACATTAACTTTGGAGTCGAACCAGAACCTCACAGATTCGAAGCAGAAATTCCTCTGCAAATGTGATTTTAAGTGTAAAATGTCAAGCAGTCAGTAACCTTGCTTTTATAATCAGAATGCAACCAGTTAAGTGCAAAAACACATGAGTCGTGCTCATTGGTGCACACCTACTCTGATTGCTCTGCGCTTATAAATTAGGTTTAGGAGCAGTGATCTGCAAATTTTCATCAGTCTGTCTGAGAGGGGTTGCAGTCAGATTGCCTGCCCTCTCACTAGGTGACCAGTTGGTTGAGTGTAGGTTTTACCTGCACAGATTGAGAGATATTTCCAGGATTGTGGCTTTCATCCCAGGACACTGGTTGTAAATGGATTTTCATTTCATTTAAGGTGCTCACAAGATTAAAACATGACAAAAAATGTCCTTCCCCAAAATGGTAGTCTAAATCCACCTGTAAAAATAAAATGGGAATAGGGGAGTGTTTTCTAAGGGATCGTTTCTTTTGATTTAAAGTAGTAGTGCAGATTAAGCCATTGTTCGTAAAGAAATATCTGTCTGTACTTTTTTAAAATCTCGTGAGCACCATGAAAACAAATATTAAAAAGATTTCGTTTAAAAAATAAAAAAAGGTTCCCGTATGCTACAGAGAACTAAATGGAGGTGAGAAAATATGTTCTGTTAATATTCTCAAGGGCTCTTTTCTCAAGACCAAACTACATTTAGAAGAAGCGACATCACTTAAAGCATAGATAAATGAGAGTAATAACCCGACAGAAATCTCAGACCCCTGTTGAGGCCTATTAGTCTTCCTCCTATCATGACAGCATCTGTGCTATTCCGAGGAACCACCGGTATGTCTGTGTTGTCATTGCAGAAGGAGACGACATGAAATTTGACCCCTTTGGGACATCGGCCCTCAGCACCTTGGCCAGCTATGACTGGTCAGACCGGGACGAGAGTCTGCCCGGTGAGGTCAGAAAGCCACCGGGCTTGGAAGGAGCTGGCCTTCCATCTTTAGTCCCCACACAGAGGAAGGAACTGACCTTTGGCAGCACTGAAAACATCACAAGCAACTCCATAGCAAACATCATCACCTCCTTCCCTGCAGAGGACAGTTCATCAGCAGATGACAAGTTTGAAGCCTTTGCTGACTTTGGCTCCGGCGACCAGGGCGGTGTCAATAACGAGGATGACTTTGGAGACTTTGCAAGTACTGTTTCGGAGAAGTCAGACTCGCCTGCTGCCACTGCCGAGGCGGGCTCAGAGGGAAACCAGAGCGAGGCCTCCGATGACTTTGGTGCCTTCCAGGGAGACAAGCCAAAGTTTGGCAGGTCTGACTTCCTCAAAGCCAGCGCTCAGGCCAAGGTCAAGTCCAGCGAGGAGATGATCAAGAACGAGTTGGCAACTTTTGATTTGTCGGTTCAAGGTGAGTTTTCTTCTCGTATTTACTTCAAGTAGGCGGCACATTGTTTTTCAGTTAAAAATAATTGTCTAAATCCAAATAGAATTTTGCTTAAATGATAAAAAAAAAACAGAAAATATTCATTTTTGACAACTTGGAATAATTGAATATAATAAATGAGTTATTGAAAATTGTTGTCAACTAATTAATTTATTAATTATTTGAAGAGCAGTTTTGGCAGAAAAGTATTAATTTCTACATTGTTGAATTTGTTGACTCAAGCTTCCTCCCACAGTCTAAAGACATGCATGTTAGGTTAATAAAAGCTGCTTTTATTATGCTCCCTTATTTGCAAGGGGTTGCTGCAGTGGATTGATCCTCATGTTTGATTTTACACCGGATACCCATCCTGACGTAACCCTCTCAGGGTTTTGTTACTGCTTCCAGTGTTGAACTTGGGATCTTTCACATGTTGAATGTGTTAGTGTGACAGCCAAGAGGTATGTCAGGTTAAGTGGTGATTCTAAATTAGGTTTTTTTTTTTTTTTTGCCTGTCCCATTTGGTTCTTTAGCCGTCAGAATTGTTGTCTGAAGACCAACAAAGATACCCAATGGATTTACTTTGCCAAATGGATCATCACGGCCTTGCCGTATTGGTCCATTTGATCAACCTTTTGTTGTTATTATTTATTTTATTTTATTTTCACTTGTTACAGACGGGACAGACATGACTGAGGATAGGAAAGGGAGAAAGAAAGATGAAGGAAAAGAAAAACAGAGGGGAAGAGGGACAGTGAGAAAGGGCACTTAAAAAGAAAGAAGAGAAAAAAAATCTCCTGGATCACCTGTTGAGAGAAAAAGAAGAGAAAACAAGCAAAAAAAACAGAGCAACATACTAAACACAACACCATCACGTTAATCTAGCTAAGTGTAAACAGCAGTAAATACTAAATATTGAATGTTGTTGTGTAGCAAGCAGGACCGACAGCGCACAATATGCTTGGAAATAGCAGCCAATAGAGGTGTAGTTTATGTCTATGATCAGTGAACACCCGTGTGCACACCTGTGTGGATCAGCACGCTTGTATTCAAAAGGTTTCCCCATGTAACGGTCTGCTAGAGGATGTAGGGAGCCATAGCCCTGTCCCCCAGGGCATGAAGCAGGCATGGAGGAGATCCAGGCTCCAGACATCCAGAGGCCCCAGAGGTGCGAGAGCCCAAGGAGGACCACCGGAGGGGCACCCGTGCCACCCTCCTGGGAAGAGCTGAGGAGAGCCCCAGATGAGGGGTCACCCAGTAGCCACGGAGCAGAAGCCAGAGGGGGCTGCAGTGGTGTGCCCACTGGCTCTGCTGGCAGCCAGCTGTGCCAGAGTGAACCGAGCCACAGGCCCAGATGATTCTAAATTAGTAGTTGACATAAGGAAGCGTTGTTAGAATAAATGACTATATAAATGTATGCATAATGTGGACACATGACTCTTCTGACCAGCTGTAAGTCCTTGGCCCTGCACTCTGCTCAAGCACCCCGCCCCCACAGACAAGGCCCATCAGATGTGTAATAAAGCTGTCAGACATTAGATGGTAGTGTTGAGATGACAGCTCCACTCTCTAATGGCAGCGACTGTTGAGATGGATTAGCAGATGCCCACAAATCCATAAGCAGAAATTAACCGTATCCACTTAGAGGCTGTTCATTTTCGAACCGCTGTTTGCTGCTGTTATTTTTCACAAAATAAATTATTACAGTTTCCTGCACTGTGATCAAAGCCTCATGTAGATTCATTTCCCTGTGCTGAAGTTAATGTGTGTGAAGAAGAAGGGCTCGCTAACTCCCCTTCTTCCTGTGGCTCAGTGACCTGATCACAGTGGGGCTTCTGGTGTAGGCTGAGTAGTTGTGTGGTGATGGTGGGGTTGAGGGTGGATTACCTGTGTGTAGATGGCGCACGTACACATGCGCTCACAGCTAACCCCACTGGAATAGTCTGGGCTTCACTTGTGTTTGTGCTTGTGCTTGTTGTGGTACCTTGCCAGGGTTTTTGTCCTTCTATGAATTATTCATACCTGCATATTTGTGCCTCTGTTTTGTACCTAATTATTGTTTGTCACAATTAAGTATTTACGCATGCCGTCCCTGTCTGGGAGGAATTAACTACAAACAGAATGGAAGTAGAATGGTTGGAGACAAACAGGTGCACAGCCCAAAATGAGTTGCATCACAACATGTCGCTGAATTGATATTTCTCTCATTTCTCTTCTTCTCTGCTCCGTCTTTGCTGCAGGTTCCCACAAGCGCAGTCACAGTTTGGGTGAGAAGGAGATCAGGCGTTCACCCCCGTCTCCGGCGCCAGAGCAGCCCTTCAGAGACCGATCCAACACCCTGAACGAGAAGCCTGCACTGCCCGTCATCAGAGACAAGTACAAGGACCTGACTGGAGAGGTGGAGGTGAGGAGGGAACCTGAATATCAGTAGATTTCAGCGCAATACCGAGGACTGTTAAAGCTTCAAAATACATAAATGCCCCTTTTTGTTCTCTTCTGTTTTCCTTTTGTGTTCATTTGAGATAATTTTGTGCTGTTGCAGGAGAGCGAGCGCTACGCCTATGAGTGGCAGAGGTGCCTGGAAAGCGCTCTGGAGGTTTGTGTTTGTTTGTGTCCTGTATCTGACCTCATACCTGGGAGAGACTTAATTGTGAGAGCGACAGCAAATGTTCTAGAGCATAGGTGTCAAACTCTGGCCCGCGGGCCAAATTTGGCACTCAGCCTAATTACATTTGGCCCGCAAAGCCATACCAAATTACTATTAGAGCTGGCCTACTGGTATTATACAGCTAATATATATATTGTTTAGTATTAAGCTTTGCTTGTTCCATATTCAGTTTTTCAGCAAAACTTGTTTGAGTCCATAAGAAAAGATTCATTTATATATCTGGAGGAAGATTTTTTTTTTTCAATAAATATTAACGTTAGCCCGCGACTTTGTTCCAGTTTTGAATTTTGGTCCACTGTGTATTTGAGTTTGACACCCCTGTTCTAGAGTAATTAAGATAACCAAAATACACTGAAATGTTTTTTTCAGCCAGGATTTTACCTGTCACGTATGTCTTGGGATATTTTATTTTCTTGAAACTTGCAAATATAACTTCAGGACTGTTGTGTTTTTAAAGCTCATCAAAAATTGAGGATGTTGCAAAATGTCTGCTGGAATATTTACTTTTCGTTTTAATGTGTTTGACATTTCAATCCTGGGTAAAGGCCATAATTGTAACACTTTACTGTTGGATGCTCATTATGAGTTTTATAAGCAAGACCAGTGTGTATGTAATAACGCCAGCTTCTGTCCTTCCACGTTAAGGTCATCACCAAAGCCAACAACACCCTGAACGGGATCAGCAGCTCTTCTGTCTGCACCGAGGTCATCCAGTCTGCTCAGGGCATGGAGTACCTGCTTGGTGAGGAGCTGCACTAATGCACACGCAGACACAGCTACTACTACCACTACTATAAACACACCGAGGGCCTCGTTTATCAAACCATATAGGGAAAGTGCTCTAAATCTGTGTGCAACAACCAGCACTTTGCACAGTAAAATGTCCATTCATCATCCACACACCACAGAGCAACCTTATATATTGTAAACCACTTTCCTTTCAAATGCCTTTAAATAGGTCTCATTGCCACCAACATGAGAGTTGGAGGTCCCGATCAATGAAGTAGCACTAAATAGAACTGTTTATTTAGCATGTTTTCTGGAAGAGTGTGGACACTGACAAAAAAATAAAAAAATCAGTGCCGCAGCTGTTCAGGTCAAAGAGAAGTAAAGAAAGTACATGTAAAAAATAGTGTCGATGACCACAGAATAAAAAGAAATACTGCCACAGGAGTAAGACGGTCCACCTCATCAGTATCGCCTGTGGATGGAAAAATTGCTTCAATAATTGGTGAGGTGTCTGTGGCAGAAATCATCCCTGAAGGTGATGCTTGACACGGTCGGTGAACCTCCACAAAGCACAGAGGGGGCAGGGCCATCATGAGTAACCACTTTATTTTATAGTGTGGTGATTGTTTTGGAGTTTTATGGCCATGAGTCTCACACATAGAACTGAAAACACAAGCAATTTTATACCCTCCCCTGCAGCTGAGGACACTAGAAAAAATCAGAACCAAGATGACTTGTGAGTTCATTCGGATCGCCTCTATAGAACAAGGGCGACGTAATGGCAAGACAATGCAAATAACATTTGCTGATTACTCCTCACTCTTTGTACGGAAAGGTCCCTGCAGTCCCTAAAAACAAGCATTTCATGCTAAAATGTATCTATGAGTCGAGCTCAGCCCTTGAATGTTTGATGATATTGATAAATAACACTATGACCTGGAAACATTTGCACATAGAGAGTTAATACTTCCACATACAGTTAAAAAGAAATGATGCCTTGCGAGCCTCAGAGGCAACAAGAGCCTGTTAAAGAAGCCGGTATGTGGCCTAACACCCTGTGAAGGACAGAAAGGACAAGATTAAGATGAGCTCTGGTGTGATGGCTTATCTCTGCCCCGTCTGACAAGGTCCTGCTGCTTTACTGTTTCTCTGCTTTTAATGAGCCGAGTGGCTAACACGTCACGGCTAAGTGCTCAACACCGACTAAGAAAGTGTGTTTCTGTGACATGTGTGCGTTTGTTTTCTCCCTCTCAGGCGTGGTGGAAGTGTATCGCGTCTCTCGGCGTGTGGAGCTGGGCATCAAGGCCACGGCAGTGTGCTCTGAGAAGCTGCAGCAGCAGCTGAAGGACATCAGCCGTGTGTGGAACAACCTCATAGGCTTCATGTCGCTGGCTAAGCTCGCTGTAAGTTGCTATGACGTTTGTACGCACTCACCAAAAGGCAGGACAGATAGATATACAAACAGATTCATACACTTGGTTGCTTTCTTTTTCTAGTGGAATTACGCACTGATAACAGAGCACTGACGTTCAGTTAAGAATGCAAGTCCTGCCAATAACATGATTGAGTGTTAGTGAATCCAGTATTGTCGGTCCATTAGGATAAAATCAATGATTCATTGATTTGAAAGCAATGCAGATGGAGTCTTTTGGTAGGCCGCTGTTTGGATCAGCGGGGATGACGAAGACTGTAAAGATTTATTTACCCAGCTGTCTCCAAGTATCTGTAAAACAGGACGCAAGAGGAGGACTGTTCTCATCCGCAGAGCCAGCAGACGAGGAATACTGTTTGTAGAAGATAAAAATGATTTAGCATCTTGAGAAAGGAGGCAGAAACAAAATGCAACAAATGTTTAATTAAAGCAGGGATGTAGATTTCTTTCCTTATAAAGGAGAAAGATGTAAACTCGAGAATTGTTTGTTTTCAGTCTGAGTAGCCAATGTCGTGCCAAGTCTTTATTAAAAAAAAAAAAGTTGATGCTCGGAGATGTTTACTATAAGCCGACTTGTTCTCTCTGCTGTTATTATAAGAATAGAAATGACTACATTTTGCCCTGCGGCAGGAAGTAAAACGTCTGTGTGTTTTTGTGTGTCTAGCCTGATGAAAGCTCCCTGGATTTCTCCTCCTGTATTCTGCGGCCGGGTATCAAGAATGCAAAGGACTTGGCTTGTGGGGTTTGTCTGCTCAACGTCGACGCTCGCAGCAAGGTTTGTGTGCACGCACACTCACACAGACTAACTGTTACTGGGTACTGTTTTTTGTTTTTTACACACATGATGCTGTGCTCATCCCCAGCAGATAACAACTGACATTTCTTTGACTTTGAAACATTTTTCCAGAACAAAGAAGAAAGCACTATTGGACGTCTGTTTAAACGAGTATGAGACAGTCAACTGTCATCCGAATCTCATTCCACTCTTTCCTGTTGGGGTCCTTGGGGGGCCTATCCTCCTCTTACTGACGAGCCCTGCGGGGGGCCAAAGTGACAGGATTCCCTCCTCTCCACTGCTCTTCTATCAGAGCTGTTTTCTGCCTAGACATGCACATCATCATAAAAACCCCACAAAGTACCAACCCAAATCTAAACCCCAACCCCTCACATTACTTTGCCTGTCAAGCTTTGTCTTCTTGCAGCACATATGATGCAAGTAATATTCATTTAACACGAGTTCATAGGGAAGATCAAATTCTTTTCACCTGTCACATTGCAGACTTTTATGCATATAGTCCTCTAGTTAGTTAGCTAACTGTCACCATAAATCTGAGCAGAATCCAGCTGACGTTTATGAATTTTATGTTTCCAACTCAGTTGTTTGATAGCTTTCTGTAGATCGAAAAACTTTAAAGAGCCCCGCGTGATGTAACAAAAGATTAATGAGCATAACAAAATAGTTCTTGAATTATAATTTCCTCCTAGTTAGTCGTAGTGTGATTGGGATAAATGAAAGAGATGCAACAGCATGCTTCATATCTTTTATTATTGCAAATAGATTAAAATTATCCCCAGAGCTGCCAACCTCGGCTCAAAAAACCAGACGGCTCAAACTCAGCTGTACGGCCCAGTTTGATCTCAATTCAATTTTATATAGATGTCTCAAGCTTTATATTGTAAGCTAAAGACCCTACCATCAGACAGTCACACACTCAGTGACTGTGGGGAGGAAGAACTCTCATTTCATAGAAAGAGACTCCAGCAGAACCACTGGGGTGGGGTTGAAAGGAGAAAATAAGAATAGAGACGGAACCAAATATAAACTACAAGAGAGAGTAGACACAGAGTTATTTATATGTGTAGCAGCATATATACGCATCAGTAATGCAAAGAGGAATAGAGAAGAAGTGCTGAGTGCATCATGCGTCCCCCAGAGGCTTAAATAGAAGAATAAGCAGGGAACCACCACTTTTTTTTTTTTCTCTTCTCTTTTACTCCACCCCCAGTAGATTGTTGCCTCTTGCTGAGCATGTTTCTGCTAGAGGGTTCATCCCATTAAAGAGGAGCTTTTCCTTCCCACTGTCGCCAAGTGCATGCTGACTGGGCATAGTCTATTTGCTGGGATTTTTCTCTCTATTACTGTAGGGTCTTAACCTTAAAATATAAATTGCATTGAGGTGACAATTTTTGTGAATCAAACAGAATTTAACTGCAACTGAGGTTTATAGTCACCTGATAGGGTTAAGCCAGTGGTGTTAAACATAAGGAGTCTTTGCAGGGCCTTGCAAAGACTAATTCAACCTTTTGAAAGGCTTTGAAAGAAGGAGGGCATACATTTTTTCATAGGTTTTACAACTTTGTCTACCAATAAAGACCTCCCCCATAGCCATCCATACTACTAATTAGGCAATAGATAAACAGTTAAATGTAATTAAATTTGATCTGATGGTGATGCTATAAAAATGATCTGCACGTTTAGAGTCACCACATTGAACCTGAAATTAAGCGATTCCTTCAAAACGTCTATCAAGCATATGGAGGTGTTGGATATATAGTTGCAGTATGAAGAGACTTGCTTCTATTTCTGATAGAACTTTCCTTTAGTGTTACTCCAGAAACAATACAAATAGTCCTGAAAGTGGTGCTGCAAAGTCAGTGTTTCGACAGTTTTTCCTTTGTAAACTCTCCAGACACTCTAAATGCCAGGTGTCACTCCTATTAGTGCCCCACAATGTGAACAAAGTCAGAGCTTGACAGGCTCTGATCAGACAGTCACTGCAGGGGAGACGGTGGGCAGACAGTCACTTTAGGTCGTCTCCCTGCTTTTATGGTGAAGTATGAAGTTAGAAGTGTCCACGGATAACAATGTGCGCTCTTGAAGTAAATGACAGAGAGGGAAGATGTCACTTTGGCACCTCGGGGTGGGTTTTTTCACCCTGTGATTGCTTCCTCAAGGTCACAAAGGTTGTTACTTTGTCTTGGAAGGGTTTCATTTTCTATTCTGCCACCTCCATCTCAATGTAGCTGCACACTTTGCCACTTTGAGCTAACAACCGTCGGTGTTTCTAATAACTGTTCAGAGAGCGGGGCAGGATGGCGGTACCTCTTTGCCTAGGGTGGTCGTGATTTTCATCGACGTGGGCCATTAAGGGTATTCTCGGACCCTGCGGTTTAGAGGGCAGGATGGTGGCGTTGATTGTTTCTTGCGATCCGTCTGCTGCTCTGCCAGAGCCAGATGGATAGTCCAGACGAGATAAGGCTGACTGAGAGGCATCTAGGCTGTGAGCAGATGTGGCTTACACATTAGTCATAAGCAGGGAGAACGGCGGATAATAGACCTGCACACACAAACGCACTCTCTCTCACCTCTCGCTCCTCTGTGCGCAGAGGCAGTCTGAAATTAATGCAGTTTTATTTTGTCTCTGTGCCACAAGCATGAGATTAATAACCCATCTTTTAATTACATTTTTGGCACAAACCACCCTGGTAAGACTGCCGAGCGGAGAATAGCATCCCCTGCGAGTATAATGAAGTGAAAGAACAGCTTTGGCTACGGCAGACAGCACCGATTGTTGCTTTGTCCCTCAGTGAAGAGGTGCCGGTTTGTTTTTCGACCAAAGGTGCAGACGGGTGGAGACGTTGATGTGGCATCAAAGAAATGCAAAAAATGCTCGACAGCCGATGTGCTCAGTCTCTCCTGTTCAATTCACGTTTTGAATTCTGATATTATTCTCGATTCAAACAGAGCCAAACAGTCGCTTTCAGCCAGACTCACCGTGTTCCTGTTTGGCTAATATTCTCTGGGTTGTCGCACCTTTTTTTCTTTTTTGGGTTTAAATCATTCTGCATGTTATCTTTGGGTTAAGGGGCTTGGATGGGCGACTGCAAACAGCTTCATCTCTCCTCAGTTTGTCACTCAGAAGCAGCAGCAGTTTCACCCTAAGTGATACTTTTTGGCTAATGATGCTCCAGCTCCTCCACTAAACGATAAATGCTAATTTAGGCATTTACAAGGAGAAGGACTGGAAAGGAGTTTAAGCTGAATAATTTAGCATTTTTGGCTATTTATTTTAATGCAGCTTTTTCAAGTGCCTCAAGCATTTGGATTATCAAGTTGAATGTGTGTAGTTTTGACAGCAGCACACGGGAGTTTGGACCACAGCTTTGTTCTTAGGCTGCCCATCTCTTTCACAGCATGTTTCCATCTGGTCGAGGTTAGCGGGGCTCCTGCACAGACAAAGAAAGTCAGGGAAATTACTTACTGTGCAATACTGACATTAAAGAATTTGGGAATTGAAAGAGCACTCTTTGAAAATGTTCAAAAGTACAAATTTGACAAATCTGAAGCTGAGAGAAACTGAGAAGTTGACTTCTTAGCGACTTCCTGTGTGGAAGTGACATAAATTAGCGAAAATCATGTCCCCATCCCAACTTTATTTAAACGTGTTGGTGCTAGCAAATTTAGACTGAGCAGATATTTAAATAAGTATGTTATTTCTTGTTTTTGTTATATTGTTATGCTTAATTCAACATTGTAACATTAAAATTAGTTCCAAATGATCACATTGTTTACATTGTACTTCACTTTTTTAAATAGGGTTGTGCTAAAAGTAACATTAACCTTTAGCATTAACCTTAAAAAGTAGCGCTCGATTCCAGGTCTGGTGATGTATCACCGACAACTTGTAGCTTTTTTTTTTTTTTTATCTCACAGTAAAGAAAGCTGTCAGTGAGGGCAGGTTTCTGTTTGTGCTGGCTTGTAAATCTTTGAGTCATTGATGGGGTTTTTTCACCATGTAACACATGCATCCACATGCTTTGTTGTTTTCGATCAATAACCCAAATAACAAATATATTCGGTTTATTATTGCAGAAGAAAACCACGAAACGGAGATGAAGCTGTAGCTTTAAGTCAGCTAATATAAAGCTGCTGCAATACAGTTTCAGGCGATTGGCTGATTGTTTCAGCTCTAACCAATCATGCTGTTGTACCAGCAACACGGCAAAAGATGGCAAGATCAAAACATGAGGGACTGGTAAAGGTCCTTTCTTGGTTTTCTCCCAATATCTCAGCTTCTTTTTGAGCAGGAGACGTCTGATTAAACCAAACCTTTGTTCTTTCAGTCTTCAACCTTTATTTTAATGTCAGTTGATAACTGTCATTTTAAACACAGACTCTGGTTCATGTGAGGTGCTGCCGCTGCAATAGCAGCTTTTCTCCTTCTGTCTACAACCCAGATTTGTCTACAGGACTGGATTAACTGTGACAAACCGCGCTGATTTGTTTCAGTGAGCATACTGGCCAAAATCTTCAGTCAATATTTTAGATCGATCGAGGCAAAATCTCTTGAATTCTGAGTTGGAAAAATGTGTAGGAGCCCCGAGGGTAAAAACTTTCATGTTTTCACCCAAAAACATGCTGTGAAAAGTGGTGAAACGGCTGCTCGCTGCTTATTCTGTGCACACTTTGCTCTGGGCGCTGCATGAATATGCTTCACCTCTCTGACTGCTCTTGTGCTTACAGGCATTGACTAAAGACAGGGAGAGGAGCTTAAGGGTAATTATGCCTTGTTTTGTTTTTTTTAACTTCTAATAAAATAGTTTGCATTAAAGCTTGATTTTCATATCCAAACAGATAGAGGAGCCAGGACCTTTACATGCAGCTGAAAAGTCAGATGAATTAGTCTCTGTTTTATCTGACAACTCCAGCTTGAAAACATAAAACCCACACTGTAGTGTCACAGCAGGCTTTTATTAACCTTTATTTAACCAGGCATTAGAAACAAATGATTTTCCAGGGCAGGCTGTGTACAAGGCTCTGTTTAGTTAAAACAGGTGGATATTAGCCTCCCTTCCCTGACACACAGGTGAACTCTGGAGCAGGAAAAACACTGCAGTGAAAGCAGGGGTGTGTTTTAGTTTGACCACCCTTTCATTTTGCATCCTCTCCCTCCCAACATTTCCCAGCTTTGGCACTCCTCTAAGTGCAGGTTTGTGGAAGCAAGTAGGCCAGGGCACAGAGGGGTCTCTGAAAGGAAATCGCTCCTCCAGTGAAATGTGAGCGTGTGAAGGAAAAAGCGAAAAGTGGAAATGTGTCATTCGGCTCGTCTGAGAAAGCCCTTCATCGGGCGGAGCATCTGTGCCGCAGACTGCATTCAGGCAGGTGGAGATGTATTTGACTTAATGGTGTGTTGTGGTGGTGTATTTCTGCATGCGTCTCCCCTCTGCTTCTGTGTGGGAGGCTGTGATTCACTGCACATGACTCATTCCTCTCTCCGGCTTCAGCTCCATTATTTCACCGGGGATGCAAACTCCTAAACTGCACATCACACACATTAGCATCTCCTGATTGTGCCCACCGTGCCGCAGCTGGGCCCAGTGAAATCGCAAACTTGCATCAGAGCCCTCGTGTGTGCGTGAGTGTGTGTGTGTGTGTGTGTGTGTGTGTGTGTGTGTGTGTGTGTGTGTGTGTGTGTGTGTGTGTGTGTGAGTGTGTGAGTGAGTGAGTGAAAGGGGACAGCAAGTTCGAAATGGGGGTGGAAGGGATTTCCATCGCAGCTGGTCAACCACACTCTGCTGTGCAGCAAGGGAAGAACTCAACACATCTGTCAACGGCATTGGCTCGCCATCAATATCAGATCCATCGAATGCATCGGAAAAAAAACCCTGACCTGTCAACGACAGTGTCATAGGACACACCGAGTTTCCAAATAATTACACTTCACAATTTGTTAGTACATAAAAGTACTGCTTGCAACATTAACAATGTTTACAATTGAAGATAAACTAGTGAGATATGTAATAAACCTGGCATTGGTTTTAAATGCTTTTTCAGTCATCTCTCAATAGTTTAAATATTTACAATTTCAATCACAGTCTGAATAGGAAATACAACTGTAGGGCATGGCCTCAAGCTTTTTCAGCACAATAAAGTATAGCTTTCTAGAAAACACTGTAAACTATACTCATAAAAAGTATAAATAAACAATGAACAGGTAAAATAATTCGCCCACCAATCTCAAGCCCAGACTTTCTACCACCAAAAATGCAGAGAGAACCATAACAAGTTAATAGTTTTGAACTTAATGCATCATTTTAGCAGCATACACTCAGAAAATCATTTTTAGCATTAGCAGCAAGTGCTAACTCTTTATTCTGTACTGTTTTTGTACCTTTTTCTGTGAATTCCGGCCTCCTTTTTTCCTGCTAGCGTGTTCAGAGCTAATGTG